CCGTGGCCACTTGCTGGGCCCATCCTCGACCGGTTCATCCCGCTGGACGCAGGGGCTGCCGATAGGCTCATAGCTGCAGCTAGACCGACCACTTGCTCCCTCGATCCATGTCCCTCTTGGTTGGTGAAATCCTGCTTGGAGGGATTACGCGACCCTCTGTTGAAGATTATAAACAGCTCCCTTGAGCAAGGAGTTTTTCCAGAGGGTTTAAAAGAGGCAGTGGTCTCTCCCCTGCTGAAGAAACCAGACTTAGATTGTTCAGTTCCCTCCAGTTACCGCCCAGTTTCGAATCTCTCGTTCCTGGGCAAGGTGATTGAGAGGGCAGCAGCGGAGCAGTTGCAGCAATTCCTAGACGACACAGCCGGACTAGATCCCTTCCAGTCTGGCTTCCGTGCGGGGCATGGGACAGAGACTGTGCTGGTCTCCATCACGGATCACCTTCGATGCCAGCTTGACCAGGGCGGGTCAGCGCTGCTTGTGTTATTGGATCTCACAGCAGCATTTGACACAGTCGACCACAATCTTTTGACCCACCGCCTTGCTGTTGCTGGAGTCAGGGGGACAGCTTTAAACTGGCTGTCCTCCTTTCTTCACAACCGTGGACAGCGAGTGGAGAGGGGAGGCCTGGTCTCTGAGAGGTCCCCTCTATCTTGTGGGGTTCCTCAGGGGGCCATTCTCTCCCCTCTGTTGTTTAACATCTATATGCGACCACTTGCTCAGCTGGTTCGAGGTTTTGGGCTTGAGTGTTATCAGTACGCCGATGACACTCAGCTGGTGCTGAAGATGGAAGGCCGACCGGACTCTGTACCCGATTGTTTCCATCAGTGCCTCGAGGCCGTTACTGGATGGTTGCGTGCCAGCAGGTTGAGGGTGAATCCAGCAAAGACTCCCATCCTATGGCTGGGTCGACCAGGCAGTGGGGACACCCAGCTGCCTACCCTGGATGGCGAGGCGCTACGCCCGTCATCATTGGTAAAGAGTCTGGGAGTCCTTTTGGACCCTCTGCTGACGATGGAGGCCCAGGTCTCCGCCGTTAGCAGAACCGCCTTCTTTCATCTGCGGCAGGCTAGACGGCTGGCCCCCTACCTGTCCAGGGACGACCTAGCTACGGTGATCCAGGCCATGGTCATCTCAAGACTGGACTACTGTAACGCCCTCTACATTGGCCTTCCTCTGTCGGTGATCCGGAAGCTCAAGTTGGTACAAAATGCAGCTGCTCGGCTTCTTGCGGGAATTCCGATGAGATGCCACATAACACCAATCTTACTACAGCTGCATTGGTTACCAATTGAGCACCGGATCACTTTCAAAGTGATGGTACTCACCTTTAAGGCCTTGCATGGTCTGGGGCCGATGTACCTGAGGGACCGCCTCACCTCCTACCAACCCCAGAGATCCCTCCGTTCTGAGGACCAAGATCTATTGGAAGTCCCCAGTGTCAAGACCTTGCGTCTAACAGCAACCAGACGCAGAGCCTTCACAGCAGTGGCACCATCACTCTGGAATACTCTGCCACCTGAAGTCCGTGCCTTGCGGGACTTACCAGCTTTCCGCAGGGCATGTAAGACATACCTGTTTCGACAGGCTTTTAATGTTTGATATTGCTGTTTTTAAATTGTTTTAAATTGCTTTTAAATTTTGTTAGATTTTAGCCATTCTTGTAAGCTGCTCCGAGCCCCAGGGGAGTGGCGGCATATAAGTTTAAATAATAAATAAATAAATAAATAATAAAATATTATTAAGCGGCTTCCTATAGTCCCTGTCTGCATTGCCAATCCCAAAATTGGACTAGAAGGAAGTCAAAGTGCCTTTCACAATGCTTAGATGGATTGGGATCCACCTCCTACGTATACTGTCTGTATCCATGATAAGCCTTTGCCCATTTGTGCCACAGATCAACTAGCCTGAAGGACAACAAGATACAAAACCCCTTTAGGGATGGTGTTTCTGTTCTTTTGGGAAGATACCCCTTATCCATGGGCCATTTAAATATTTTTAAGAAGGAAAATGGGCAGACTTTTCTTACTCCAAGGATTACTCACTGTTTCAAAGTGACTTATTACAAAGAAAGCAAACTACAGGGCTCATGACAGTTAAAGTGCAATTCTTCAATTCCTCTAATTAGGAAATGCAGGAGTCCAAAGAACCACTGCTAATTTCAATTTTCAAAACAGCACATTTCCCCTAGCTTTTTAAGCATCATTTTTTTCCTCCTTAGGCATCAAGCAGTGCAGGGAACTTGGGCGTCCTGATTCCAGTTATTGCAGTGGTGAGTACTTGAACCAAATTGTTTCCTTTCCTGAAGTAGCCTAAAGCTGACTATTTTGACTGATAGCTGAATGTAGAGGTCCATTGGCTGCGATCAGCCTTTGAATACTTCCACTTCAGAGATATCATTAATGTCTAGGAGATACTTAAGAGCATGTCCTATTGAGAAAAGCCCATTAGTGTCAGAGTAGCACAAAAGGCCAGGGCAATCAGATAAGGAAAGATTGGGTTGGAAATGGAAAATAATGTATTAGAAAACAATATCCTGTATCATAGCAACAGAACAAAAAGCTTTTTGGGATGATTATAGATCATTTTCCTTTCCGCTTTGAAATAAATATGTCCCATAATTCAAACTCTTCTAGGAGTCCCAGATGGCTGTGAAGTGTCTAATAATATGCTTATTTAAGATCCGTATTCTCCAATTAATCTTGTGTGTAATTTTGTTTAATTCAGGCTTGAGCAATTTCTTTTGTGTTTCAAAATACACACTTGACTTCAAGGATTGTTGATTGTTTCTCCAGAGACTCGCTGATCAGCGTTTCTTTTTTCAGCCATTTGGCGCTCTGTAAATACAGTTATGAACCTTCACAAAAGTTAATGGTTACATTAAGGGGTCTGTAAACCAAATATTTGGTTTTCTTGCACAATTGATGGTGATCATGAGCTCCTGGCTACTATTGTATGTGCGGTTCAGCTTTAACTTTTTAGAGGTTGCTTGTAGGGATTGGGATTTGTTTCAGAAACAAATAAAATTCTGCTCACCTGAGGAGTTGCTTCATGTACACAGCATTGCGCTCTCTCTCTCTCTCTCTCTCTCTCTCTATATATATATATATATATATATTATAAGCCTTGGCACTATAAGAGAGTTGCAACAGTGTAGTAACAGCGAGGTCATGGACCATATCTTAGTTCTTCTGGTGGTGCATGGACCACAGGTTGGGAACCACTGATAGATAGATAGATAGATAGATAGATAGATAGATAGATAGATAGATAGATGGATGGATGGATGGATGGATGGATGGATGGATGGATAGATGATAGATAGAAATAGTTAATCTGTGTGCTTAGCTAGGAATCTTAGTTTTTTGGGGGAAATGCATATTCTGGTATGTGAAGAAGATATTCGCACTTCTTTTGGCATGGAAAAGTTCATCAGCGCATAGATAAAGGGACAAAGTATACATTTTGAACTTATTTATCCCATTTTGGACTAGATAAATGGCTTTAAACTACTACTTGCTTATAAGTGGCTGGATCCTGTTTGTAAGATGAAGGATTTTCCTTTCCTTTCCTCATAGCTCTTTATACACTTCTTACATAGATGATCCAAAGACACTACAGCATTCTTTGTTATTTGAGGGAACTGTGGATGAAGGATGGAAGGATGGAATTGGCAAAATTCAGGGGTGTCCCTTTAAGTTATGGGTCTGTGGGATCCAAATGGCATTTTCCAATTTTACAGAGACCTTATATGTGTGCACATCCTACTTGCCATCTTTGGGCTATCAAAATATAACCATGTGGAAGTTTCCTTGCCCTCAGTCAAAACACTGTCACATTGAAAGGTATACTTCTAAAATAGGACCCCAAAATAGAGTAGTGAACTAAAGTAGAACACCTCAGCACTAGTGAGAAAGATTGAAGTACACGGGTCTTCTGCATTTGTTGGTGTTAGGGGTGAAGAAGCCCCACAAAAGTGAGAAAGCTGAAAAGAAAGAAAGAAATAACACTAATTTTTAACCCAAGCAAACACTTTTCTGCGAATCTCTAGGTCCTCCAGTGGGACTCTATGGTCAACTTCCACCAGTGTAGATCAGCAGGGGGGTTGGTGGAGGGTTTTTGGAAGCAGTGCGAACTGGGTGCATCTGCACTGTAGGACTAAAGTGTTGATGCACTTGTGTGCCTTGGCTCAGTGCTATATATTCATAGAGCTGTGGCTTTAACCTTCTCCGCCCAAGGGGGCTGGGGCCTCAACAGATTCCAACTCCTAGGACTCCATAACATTAAGCCATGGCAGTTCAAGGGGTGTGAAAGTGCTTTAGCCGCATAGCATTCCATGTGAAACCCCACTATGCCTAGTTGAAAAGAGTCCCAGGTAGCAAGTCATGAGATAGACTCTTCTGTGCTGAAGACCCTGGAGTAATCTGGCTGGACAAAAGTACACTGCATGGACCAAGGGGTCTTTGCAGTGAAAGCCTATCAGTGCCAAGCCAGGTTTAAATTCTAGTTGAATTCACTTTAGCTTATTCCCAGTTAAGTCAACAAAAGATTGCAGCTTTCATTTTGGGTCCACATTCCCCAATGTTGAAGAAGTTGCCTTACATTCTCCTCAGGACAATGTTCACTTCTGATGGTATTCAGTAGTTCAAGTTATCTCCCTAGAGGAAATCTTATGTTTTCGACTAGCCTTCTTTCACTTATGCTTCTCTCGCTAAATTCGTGCAGCACTTTTGGTTTCACTGTTTAAAATGCAATCTAGATTAATTTGCTTAATCGGTATTTTGTGTAAATCCCAGGACATTTTGATAAACGCGAGTAGCGCTCCTCCAATTAAGGTGTTAGTCTCAAAGCGGCCAGTGGGCAAGATTGTGGACAGCAGCCATTTTTACTAATCTAAACCCTGCTCTTGCTAATTGCTTGACTTTCTAAAGATCCGTTGAGCCAATTAGAAGAAGTCTGGAGGTGGCACGAAAACTGTCACCAAGGTACAGGGGTCACCAAAGCAGCAATTACTGTGTTTTTTTATTTGGGTGCAGTTGCATTCCATTCTGTAGCACTCCCTACCAGTATAACATTTAAAATCTGCATAGAAAACTGGTTACATTAAAAAGTAGTGAAGTTGCCCAACTTGAGCGTTTTGCTTCTCAGGCCTTGGTTGGGTTGGCAACTCTCCCCATGAAGAGCAGGCAGCTGGTACGGTGCTCATAGATGAGGAACAGAAAAGGGCGGTCGATGATGAAGCGGATTTGAGCTGAAAGGGGCATGAAGCCTGCAGTGGTTACGGATGCCGCCTCCGTGCCTTCTTCATTCACTGTTATAGTCCCTTGATGGCTAAACTGTAAACAATAGCAGGGAATGTTACAGGGCAGAAATAATTAAGCACAAAAACCCTGCATCTTAGATGTTGTGACTGAACAAAGCACTTAGCCTACAAGTTCTGTTGGATCATCTTCAGCTCTATGCTTTGTTCTTGTCTGCCACTGTTGTAAGCTGTGGCAATGTCTCATCTCACAGTAATACAAAGTGGAGTATCCACATTTCACATAGTCTATGGCAGGGGTGTCAGGCTCATGTTCACAGAGGGCCACATTGGCCTTATGGTTACATTCAAAGGGCCATTGAATCCATGAATGGAGGATCTGTGGATACAGAGGGCCAACTATATATATTTTTTACATATTGGTCAGTGCTCTAGTTTTAATCCAGTTTGAGTCCTCAGATGTCATTGAACAACAACTCCCATCACTTTTGATAATCCACCATGTAAACGGGGATCATGGGAATTCCAACCCAATGTTACTTGTGAATTTGAGTTTGGGGAAAGTTTAAATGGCATTTTAAAGTCAGACATCCTATCCACAAGCCTTATATCTAAATTCAAAGCCCACTCTACTATCTAAACAGAACAGATGTCCCTCTATCCCAATTCCCATCAGCTCTAGTTATGATGCCTGATGATGAGGAATATAGGAATTGTAGTCCAGTATATGAAGGGCCACATGGAAGGCTGGATTCAGCCCATGGGCTTTGAGTTTGACACATGTGACTTATGGAGTTGCTGATGCCTCTCATACAAGGCCCACAAGGGCATAGAAGGCTTTTGGCAAGAGGTGTCTTGGGGTATACTTATGCAAGAGAATTAATGGTGTTTGACACCTCTTCACCTGCCATGGCTTAGTGGTATTGTAGAAATAGTAGTTTTGCATGCCTTCTCTGCCAAAGAGGGCTGGTGCCTCACCAAACATCAACTCCTAGATCCCATCACATGGAACCATGGAGGTTCAAGTGGTGCCAAACTACATTCATTCAGCATTGTAGGGCCATGGCTTTATTTTGCCCCAAGTTGAAGTTACCTTATTGATGATGATGCTCTCTTCGGATATCCCTGAATAATTGCCATTTGGACTAAAGAGCTCATTTATTCCCAGAGTTTTTAGGTATTCAATCAGGTCATAGTTTTTGGCCAGCTTGAATTTGGGCACCAGGACCTCGCGAGTTCTGTGAAGAGCAAAAGAGTGGAACATACTTTCATTTCCTTGAGTCAGTATCATGTTTTCAGAAGACTTTAATCTGTGTCTACAATAGCAGAGCTTATTGCGTGGTCATTGGCCATCCTGTCTAGGAACTATGGGAGCTGTGGTCCAAGGCATTTGGAGGGCATTAGGCTGAGGAAAGCTGGAATGTTGCCTTGCATTTATAATGTTTTATAATCTCTATGTCTTTTGAAATGTGGACATTCTTTGGGTATATTAGTTTGGTTTTATAGTATAATCCTTTGTAACCCTCATGGCATTTTTGGGCTATTCGCAACACCACCTATAACAGTCTATTGCCGCCCTTGAGTGAGTTTCTTTTCAATTCTGAGACCTATCTGAACAAAAAATTGCCTTCTGTATTCCTCCCTTCTCTTTCTAAATTGTAGTACATCAATAAAATGTTAATTTTGTACTGTAACTATAAAACATTTGTTTTCCAAAATTCAAAGAGATTGAAACAGAGGGCCTAGCTGGAACTTTAGTATCTGCATTTGGTAGCAGCCAAAACTTCCACGTTTTCAAAGGCAGCCCTGCCTAGGACTTTACAAGCAATTTAGTCTTCATGTCACTTAGGCTTGTATAACCCTGTTTTTTTTTTCTGGAGGCAGTCATGGTGAACATCCAAGCTGAAGCTAAGTAAAAGCACTCAAGCCGTTACCTGGGAATGAACTTGATTATCCAAGGGAAGTGCAACCTTGTCTTATCATAGGTTGTACCTCAGGCAATGAATCAGAATTTATGCAGAACTCTTCTGCATTTCAGGTCAAGGATAGTAAACAGAAAATATTGGATTCCATCAGTGTATTGGTGATATCAAATGCCACATCCCTGGCTGATCTTTCCAAGTAAGTTTATCTCAACGTTAAAGAATACAGAGGAGGCTATTACTCACTAGCCAGAGAGCTTTCCTGTCCTCCTCTCCAGTAGCATTTTTGAACTTTTAGACTAGACCAGGATCTTGAAGCTGTTCTGCATTATCTCTCAATTATCTCATTCTTCATACAGTTCACCAGTTGCAGCCAAATATTTGAGAAAATCTGCTTTGTAACCAAATATTTAAGAAAACTTTAAAGGAGACACTTGGTTGGGACAATCGCATAAAGCAAAATGGCTTGAATGCAATAGTATTGTATATGTTTCTACACAGGTGGCTTAAGTTATGGGCTGAGGTGGGCATTAGGGAAGAAATCAGACCTGTGAGCAACAAATTACCTGTTGGTCATGCTCTTCTGCCACCGCTCCACCACTTGAGGGGTCAGTTGCTTCTCCAATACCTTCATGCTGGCCTGTTTATAGGGCAATACAATCAGCATGCTGATGTTACCCACATAGGGTAGCTGGAGCACGCCACAGTCAAGCTCATTATCCACAGTGGCCAGGAAGTTGCCTTTAGTCTGCATCATGGGCACTTTCACCACCTCTTTTTCATTCAGGCGGAAGCTGTGCTTGTGTGTCATTTCCACTGGAAACTTGTTTTCCCATGTTCCTGTTGACAAAAATTTTAAAAAACCTGAAGGCATTCCTCATGTATCCTGTGCCACATCTTAACATGCAATGCAGCTTGTGGTCTAAAGATCTGGAAGCCATATTACCATGACCTTGGCAGTTTCCGAGAAGGTTAGCCAGTTGCTGTCTTTTTTAGCGTTGTTGCCCAACAATACAGCTGAACACAGGAGAAACTGGATTTCGTTGCCAGATGTGGTTCCAGTCTTGATGTCTCACGACATTATTGAACATCATCTGGCAGAAAGTTACACCATTATCTGGCTGGGGCTTCTGTGGGGGGAAATACACCACTATCCAAAGACCCACATGTGGAAATCAATAGTTGAACGTGCAGAAAAACTAATAGATCATGCTTGAAATAAAATATTTGGTCAATGCTAACACACTTTTGGTTGCCATCAACAAGCCTGAAGAGTTGTTCAACCATTTGTAGTATAAACTAGCAAACTTCATGGTGTATTAATTTGGCATCAACAAATATGGTGCTGGCCACCCATATAGATGGCATGTAAGGGGTTAAAGAAATGCATGCTAGGCAAGTGTGTTGTCCACCACCACAATGGCTGTATGCAACCTTCCACTTCAAGGATAGTGATTTTCTAAGTAGGGGTGGGGAGCATTTTATTGAGTCTAGGTTTTTTTAGCACACTGGCCTAATGTGATCTTCCTGGTCCTATCTTGAAAAGAACAGTTATCCTTAGGATTTTATATGTCTCTAAGTTTTGCTGTACAATCCCACTGGCTAAATCCAAGAGAATCCTGGCATTTGTGATTGAACAAAATGTGTAGAATTCCTGGTCAGGGAGCCCTAGTACCAAACTGCAAAATACTTAGGATATCAAAGCGCAATAATTGTGCAGTATGGAAGAGACTCAATAGCAGGACCACCTGCCCTTCCTGTGACTTTAAGATCGCCCGGAAAGACTTATTGAAGTCCTTTGGCCATACCATGTCCCTACAAGGAAAAAGTCCTGCTCAGTTCTACTGCCTCATTTGTCAAATTATCCTTTTTCAAAAAAATAGTAGTGACTTGATGTTTTGGACAGTGCTCCCCCCCCCCCTTTTTTAAAAAAAAATCTTGGTCCAAGTACTTGAGGTTGGTAGGAGCTGAAATCTAAAACATCTGGAGGGCACCAGGATAAGTTGTCCTATGTTATACATTTTTAAATTTCTATAATTTTTCACAGGGACATTATGTTTTTTACCTTTAAAGTAGACACAGTTGAGAATCATCATCAGAGTGGCAGGGTCTACTTGCACGAGGGCTTCCTTTATTAATCCTTTGGTAAGCTTCAGGATACGTGCATTAGCTTTTGTGATAAAGGCTGGATCTGAGAAGTCACCCAGCTGAGCCTCAGCAAAATAATATCTTTTCATGTTATTTTCGAACTCACTCAGGATTGGAAATTGCCTTTGAACATAAAGGTCATTGACTGACCTGAGTGTGTAGCCAAAATTCCTCCTGAAGAGCCGGTGAGTAAGCTTATGGAAGAGGTTGTGAACGGTCATCAGGTCGTACTTGGAGCTGGCGTTCACAAAATCTCTGAAGCCCAGCGAATCCAAGACTTCCTCCCGTGTCTCCCCTCTCAGTCCCAATGAAATCATTGCCATGGCTGTGGAAATGCCCACAGGAGCCAGGAGGATGTTATCGGTGGCATTGGCTTTCTCCTTCAGGCTCCGATAAAGATTGAAGGCAAAGTTTGCATTGAGGATATTAAGACGCTGAATTCTGGTTTTCCCTTGGAAAAGTTCCAGAATATTCCCTTGCTTGAATTCAGAAACGGTATCTGGAGTGGCATCGATGATGTCACAATAGTCGTCGTCTTCACTGAATATTTGATCAAGGTCAAGATAGTCTTCCTCCTCCTCTTCTTCAATGCTCAAGTCGTTGGTCACAGTGTTCTCTTTATGAAACTCAGGTGAGAGCTTCAGAGTTCCATTGCTGTGGAGCCCACGCGGGCCAATAGACTGTGCTTCACCAAGTTGTTTGAAGTGCTCTTGGAAGTCCTTGATTCCACACGATGCAAACGTGACCGTGAGAGAGAAGATAGCTGAGCACACCAACAGGTTCATTTTGATCAGCCAGAAACTAGAAGGCACAAAACATCGCAGTTAGACACTTGACTTACTTAACCAACATTAGTTGATACATTGAGGAGATTAGGTGTTGGACTCCAGGCTCTAGGACTGAATCCAATCTACCTAAAATGACTAAATACATACAGAACTAGATATATACAATGAACTCCAAAATATTTTTGAAATTCAGTCTTGAACTCTGCAGCTTATCCTGTTCATGCAATGCAGACCCATTCTGATCCTAACACGATAATAACTCTCTGATTCTCTGTTGCAACAGCATTGTTATTAATACGCCACAGGTACATTAAGTCACTTCCTTTGTACTGTGACATTTCATTGTTCATCTTTCTTTTGTTTTTTGTGGCCAATGGGAAATCCAACCCCCTTCAGTCCAGAAAGCAAGTCCATCTCTCAAAGACCTTCCTTACCTCTTGTATCTCCAAATGGAATGCTTGCAAGAGCACTGCAAATAAGGGGAATGACAATGTGAACTTTGGTGTATGGGTAGGCACTAAAGTAAATAGACTGTAAATCAATCACTGGGAAGCTTATCTTGTCAGCTGAAATCCCTGAAGTTGGTTTGCTGCCTTTTTTTCTAGTTGACATTCTGTTCTGGTGTCTATCCATCCACCACCTCTAGACACACATGAGTTTCTCTCTTGTAAGATCAGAGGCAAAACTTGCTTTGCGAACCCCTAAAGCAGGGGTCCTCAAACTATTTCAACAGAGGGCCACATCACAGTCCCTCAAACTGTTGGAGGGCCGGATTATAATTTGAAAAAAACATGAATGAATTCCTATGCACACTGCACATATCTTATTTGTAGTGCAAAAAACATTTAAAAACAATACAATAATTAAAATGAAGAACAATTTTAACAAACATAAACTTATTCGTATTTCAGTGGGAAGTGTGGGCCTGCTTTTGCCTGATGAGATAGAATTGTTGTTGTTGTTGTTGTTGTTGTGCTTTCAAGCCGTTTCATGACTTAGGTTGACCCTGAGCGAGGGCAGGGTAAATGACCTTGGAGGGCCGCATCCGGCCCCCGGGCCTTAGTTTGAGGACCCCTGCCCTAAAGCATCAACATGTTTTCCTCTATAGGTGAAAATGTATGTCAGGAGGGTTAAAATGTAAGAGGATAAACTGGTGAGAATGAAAGGGTTAAATAACCTCCCCCTGGGGTTCCTCTGTAGAAATTCCCCCAAAGGCTTTCAAATAGGACTGTCACTTTGATGGCTCTGCCAAGAAAGCAAAGAAAGTGCTCAAACTGGAAGTTGCTTGAACTCCTTCCATTTTGGAAAAAAATATCTTAGGGTAAATAGTCAGGGGAGGGGCAAGTACTGTGAGATTTCAAAAGCAAATCGTGGTCCCTATAGACTTTTAGGAGAGAGGATTCCCCCATATGTTTGCCAGAAAAACCGCCATCCAGCAAGCCTCAGTGATTATGAAAACAGCTGCATGCAGCCAGAGATTTGCACTTTGTCCCCTCCTGCTTTGAAATCTATATGGTCAGACTGCCATATACACAGATTTTAAGATTCACAGCTTGAAAAAATATATATATATATATATCTCCAACAATTAAATTTTGATTTTGCCATTTTATATATGCAGCAGTGTTTTGCAATACCCCTGTGTATAATGGGACTTGAGCATCCACAGGTTTTGGTATCCACTGGAGTTCTGGAACCAAGCCAAGATTAGAAGCACATGGATATCAACATCTTGTTCCACTTCTGCTGGTAGTAAACTACTCAGTGGACACTTAAGTAATTTCTTCTTTTGCTTGGCTTCTGTCTTCTTTGTCAGCTAACGAGACGCTTGCCGCCCATCAAGGAAGCGAAGCCCCGGTTGCAGAAGCTCTTCCGCGACTTCTGGCTGTATTCGGTGCTCATGGGATTTGCTGTGGAAGGCTCAGGTAGTCCAGAGACTATGATTTTTCTATGTTTTTCTTAAACCCTTCCCAGTGAAGCAAGCAGAAAAATGTGCCAGTGTGTTACTGTTATCATGTTTGCATTACATTTGGAATCAACTCTTAGCTGGAAATACAGGAGCAGTTTAATTTCAAAAGAGCTCCAGTTTCAGAAGGAGAAGATAGCTTATACCAGTAGGTCACTCCAAAATTGCAAGTTAACTTAACCTACTTGGACATATTAGAACGATTTCCTGTCGTAGTCACTGTGAATCATACATTTGGTATCTCTGCGCCTGCGCAGTGCAACTTACGGAACCTTCTAGAAAGTAAAAAGGAACATTTTAGCTCTCTGCTAGGCCCGCCCCCCCTCCTCCCGAGTATATATAGCCTGAGGGCGGGACTAGCCGTCAGTTCTCTTAATCCGCTCGCGTGCTCAGCAGCTTGGAGAACCTTCTGACAACTTCGATCTTTCTCATTGATTACGATTATATTGGTTTTGAATTTGGACTGACTTCTGACGATCCCTCTGCTGTACCCTCTTGCTTTGGTCTCTTCGGCGAACTGATTCTGAGGTACTTTGACTGGACTGGCCTGACTACTCTTTTCGATTGATCCCTGCTGGTATGGCGACCACTTCATTTAAGAAGTGCTCCAAGTGTCCCAATATTCTACCGGACACAGATGGGCATACCCTGTGCCTTATGTGCCTGGGAGAGGCCCACGTGACCCAGTCCTGTTCCATCTGCCTCTCGTTCACCCCTCAAACGAGGAAGAACAGGGTCTCTAGACTCCGTGCGGCACTCTATGAAAGGGCCCTTCTGCCAGCCACTGCCTCAGGGCAACCCACGGAGAGCCCAAACTTACCTTTTCTGCAAACCTCTTCGGGCCTCACCAAGAAGAAGGTTAAAAAGCCCAAAAATAAAGGGGTTCAAGATGGCGGCCAGGCCTCCGTTCAGGAGAAGACAACCAAAAAAAGGGCGGGAAGATTCCTGGACGCCCGCCAAAACGCCACTTCCCGAGCTATGCCGGGCGCCCAGCGAGAAGAGGTGCTCCCTCTGCAGGCTGTTGGCGCTGTTGCTGCAGGCCCGTCGACATTGACCCCGATGCCTGCTGCTCCCATGCTGGAGCCGATTGGCCTCACCCCGCCTCCTGTGGCCTTTCCTCTCTTCTCGCCCCCGCCCCTGAGTAGGGCTCGAGATTCGCCGATGCGGGCGGCCGGGACCGATGCCGCCTCGACGTCGGCGCTTGCTGAGATGCCTGCCCTCACGCAGGGAGGAGGGCTCCAAGAGGCTGACTCCGCCCTCTTGCCGACGCAGACCAATGACGACACCGGGGGCGGCGCCGAGATCGAGCCTCCAACCCAGGAAGCATCCTGCGGAGCAGGAGAGCTCGCCGCTGTCGGGGACGCCTCAGCTTCGGTACCGGCTCCCCCCTCCCTTCAATGGCCTCAGCCTCCATTGCGCCGAGGCAGCAGGAGGCCGAGGCGCTCGAGATCGCCCTCTCGGCGGAGTGGGAGGTCGCGCCGCCATCGCCGCAGGTCAACATCCAGGCGCGGCCGCTCCTCCTTGACCTCTTCATCCTCCTCCTCCTCCTCCTCATTGGGATACTCCCGACGAAGCAGAAGGTCCAGATCCTCTAGACCCTCGAGATGGCACCGCCCTCCTGTGGGCCCTCCACCTTGCCCTGGTTTCTCGCAAATGGGCCCCTCAGGCCAAATGATCTTTGTGCAGGCTTCCTTGCCTGCGTTACCGATGCCTCCTTTACCAGCTCCTCCTTCTGCGATAGTTCCAGCTGCCTCTAATACTGCTTTATCAGCATCCATTGGGAGGCCCCCTACGTCAACCCAGTGTGTTCCAGGAAGGGCTGACTTGTGCGGTTCTGATGTTGTGCTGAACAATAGGCCCTCTACGTCAACCCAGTGTGTTCCAGGAAGGGCTGACTTGTGCGGTTCTGATGTTGTGCTGAACAATACCGACTTGGACTTGTGTAGCACTACTATTGTGTCGAACGCACCCCAGCACCAAGTTGCAGTGCCTACCGGCGATCATGACAGCAGGCCTGCTGACACCTCTGATGTTATGACTGCATCTCAGACTCTTTTGCGAGGTGATTCTACTCCTGGGGGTCCTGGAAACTCCGGGCGCGGGGCGGGGGAATTAGATAGTTCTGATTCAGAACAAGAACCCCCTGATGCTCAACAAGGGGGAGACAATACGGCCTCCTTTATCCATCCAGCCGAGGTCAATAAATTCGCTGCACTGATTGACAGAATGATAAAGGCCCTTAACATCCCTGCCCCTAAACCTCCCGAGCATGTGGAGGACCCCATGTTCCCCTCCGATGAGCAGGTAGTGACCCCCTCCTCACCTTTACCAGTACTCCCATACCTCCTTAAATTGGCCAAAGTAGCAGACTCCTCTCCTGCCTTTGTTCTGGCGATTCCTAGGCGGTTAGACTCACTTTATAAGATTGATGTGTCATCCGCCAAATGGGTCATGGCCCCACCGAAGCCCAACACAGTGGTAGCCGAAGTAGCAAAGACGAAGCGTCCTAAGAACTCCCTCACCACGCCCCCCGATAGGGATGGTAAAAAAATTGACACTTTGGGGAAGAAGGCCCATTTCTCTGCAGGGCTGTTCACCAGGATGGCACATTATGCCACGTATGCAAGTGGATATCAAACCTTCCTATGGGGGAAAATATTGCCATACATCGAGTTATTGCCAACGGACCAACAACGATTTCCTAGAGCGTTGCAGGCCGAGGCCCTTGCACTGTCAAAGATGCAGAAAGATTTCGCCAAGCACCTTGCTGAGGCTGCTGGCAATCTCTTCTCTACCGCTACCTCATTGAGGAGACATGCATGGCTACGCGCGTCCAATTTATCGGAGGAAAGGAAGGCCATCGCATAGGACCTTCCTTTCCACGAGGACGGCCTTTTCAATCCACAGACGGATGACAGGCTTAAGCAAAAACAGGACGTAAGGCAGGCAGCAGGAAAATTTGGGTACTCGTGGCAGCCCTACCCCCAACAGCATCAAAAATGGAGTCTGCCAACCACTTCCTTCCGTAGGAATTATGGGAACTCCAATGGGGGTCCCTTCCGGAACAGAAATACTAATCCTTCCAGGTTTCAGGGTGGGAGAAGGGCTCCCTACTTTTCCAGACCCCGTAACCAACCTTTTGGGAACAGATCAAAGAATCAACCTGGGCCCAAGAAGCGTCTTTGACGCGCATGGTCATGGGAACCCGGTGAGGCACGTGATGCCCTTTTGCCTGTTGCAAATAATTCAGCCCCCGTTTTACAGACCTGTTCGTCTGTAGGTTTGCCCCAGTTTGAGAATAGGCTCTCGTTTTTCTACCAGGCTTGGTCTACCATAACTACGGATAAATGGGTGTTATCCATTACCTCCGAGGGTTATAATATTGAGTTCTTTGACCAGCCCAGAGTGGGCCACATCAAATGTACTGTGCCTTCGGACCCCTTGTTGGATGAAATTGGAATGTTACTGAATAAAGGAGCAATTGCTCCATTGGACCCTTCCATGTTTCCTTATTGTTTTTTCTCCCATTATTTCCTGGTTTCCAAACGAGGAGGAGGGCTACGCCCCATCCTCA